ATCTTATGAGTCCATACAAGTGTATTTCTTGTGGCAGTGATAATCCAAATCAAAGTCTCTTAAATTAAGAGCTTTTATTTTCTTTTATTTTGATTCAGTATTTGCAGGGTTATTTGGTGTTTCTGTCTAACATGAACCAAAACTGTAAATTGAGCTTTTACAGAAAATCATTTGGTTCCTCATTGTGACAGATGAGCATTTTGCACTTTAGCAGAAAAATCCAAGAATGTCCAATAACCCTTTTTTAATAGCTGTTGATTTATTTGTTGCATCAAAAAACTGACATATTATTGATAATAAAGAACATAAATGTTGTACAGTAGAGAAATTATCTTTCCCAGATCACTATACATATGATTATTGTTAATCTGCTATCTAGGTTTTGTTTATGTGTCCATCTTGTTCAAATTCTCCCCTTTTAACTGTTCTAGTAATTTTTATACCATTATTTGTCATGCAGGTAAATGCTGTTATGGAAAAATGCTTCTGTTTAGTCTTGTGTCCATAGATTGGTCTGCTTTTTCTCAGAAATACATCAGTGTATAATGCTACTTGTAGACCCAGGCTTAGCCTTTAGCTGTAAGTTTTAAAGATCCCAGATTACCAATATTTAGGAATTTCTAATTTTAAAAAAAATTATGCATGGAGTCTTCTTAACATATATTTGATGCAAGAATTTCAGGTGGCCAAACTATAGAGAAAGATTGGTTTTGTTTTGAAAGTCACTGCTATGTTTCAAGTGTCCTACTCATGCCTTTTGTCTTTTCTATTGTTAATCAACAGCAGAAACTAATCTGATTTTAATTTTCCATATTAAATGTTATTTTTTTGTTAAATGATATTGAGTTATTTATTTTACTTCACAAAAGTCAAACATTCTAATTGAGAGTTTTAAAAGAATATTGTTAGAATAGGTATATCAAAAAACACTGGCTTAATTTTGCGTGGGTTCCCTCCGGGTACTCCGGCTTCCTCCCACCGTCCAAAGACATGCAGCTTGTGGGGATAGGTTAATTGGAAAATCCAAATTGTCACTAGGTGTGAATGTGCGAGTGAATGTGAGTGTGAATGGTTGTCTGTCCCTTTGTGTTGGCCCTGCGACAGACTGGCGACCTGTCCAGGGTGTACCCTGCCTCTCGCCCTATGACAGCTGGGATAGGCTCCAGTGCCCCCCGCGACCCTGAAAAGGATAAGCGGCAGCGAATGGATGGATGGATGGTTTTTAAGGAAGTACATGATCATAGTAGATAATAAGAGGAAAAAAATCTAATGTGACTAAAATATTGGTCAGGAATTTTAAATCATTATTATTATTATTATTATTATTAGTAGTAGTAGTAGTAGCATCAAAAGAGGGCAAATATCATCAGTATTCCCAATTGTTCAGGTGATTATTGTCATCATGTAACTGTCCCCTATAAAAGTCCTGAATTTAAAAAGTACAGTTCTTACATACTTTATCTTTATTTTGTCAAAAGATGATATATGCGTCCGTGGTGCTACCACCCTTTAAAAACCTTCAAGACTGATGTTATTTTTTTTTTTTATCGGCCTCACGTGCAAGCGATTATTAGCTAGCATGCTAACACACTAGCACCTACCACAAAATTACAAATCTACTAACATTTAGCTCGATTATAGCACTGCTCGGGTGGATACAGGCATAGTTTAAAGTCAAAAATGTTTTTGTTTCATCATTTGCTGCTCCTTTTAAACTATTTAAAGTAATAAGAAAGAGATGGCGGCACACAAGAGGTAAAAGCTCTGTAGTGATTCAATAGTAAGCCACAAATCTTACAATAACTTTGTATAACAAGTCTGGATAACTTGTTACTTTTTATCCCAAAAGAAAGACATTTTAATTTTTGAAAAAAAGGACATAAATGGGAATCAAAAATTCCTTACACTGCATTTATGATCAGGTTTGTCTTACAGCCTGAAAGTTTGTATTCAAAGTTAAGGCTGTTTCCAATATGAACTCATGCAACCAATTTAAAATAAAATTATAATATTTGAATCATCTAATTTTAAGAGATAAGCCATGATCTTGATATTAACCTCTGTGCAATATTTGTTTCCCTCCCCTGTATAAAATGAGAGTTACGCCTGTGGATGGGTGAGGTACACCAAGCGGAGTTTGTAAATACATTTGGCTAATACAACAGCCAGACAAAGGTTATATGATCACTAATTGTTAAAGCTCTTTTAGAGAAGTATTGATGTTTGTGTGTGAACTTTATAAGCAATTTAGTTTATTTAAATTATGTTAAACTGACTGGCAAATTGTGGTATAATATACAGGTGTTCTGATTATTTTATATAATGTCTTTGATATAAATAAGGTGTACAAAATACCTAAAAAAACAAACAAAAAAACCCCAAACTGTATAGCTCCAAGTTATAGTATTTAACCATAGATATTATAAAGAATAAACACAAAGCAGGTTGTGCCAGAGTTTTATAGTTTTGGATTTACTAATTAGTTTATATTTTGGTTTGTATTTTGGTTTTTAATTCAGTTTAGTTTAGTTTTTACTTTTCATTGCTTGACAATGTTTAGTTTTACTTTTGTTTTTATTAGTGTCAGTGTTAGGTTTAGTCCCTTTTGTATAGAGTGCATATGCCAGATGCAAGATTTAGAATTCTCAGTAGAAGTATCATTGCAATAAAAAACTGAACTTTTTTGAAAGCAGTTGACTCTCAGTCTTTTAGACATCCAAAATTTCAATAAACATGTCTATTAAAGCCTCATCAGCTCAATTATGATAACAAATTTTCCCTCTGTATTAGTATTTTTATTTTAGTTTGTTTGCAAAATTGTTTCAGTGACTTTTAGCTTTTCTTGAAAATCTAGTTTTTATTTTAGTTAAGGAAAATATTTTTCACATCTAGTTTTCATTTTCAGTTCAGCTTTATTTAACTATAATAACCTTGGCATGAGCACATCCCCTGCAAGTGTGGCATTATTGTATATTGCACACGTATAACCTGAAAGAGACTGGTCATCTATAGTTAATGTGGGAACCTATGTGCTGGAGTAGCATTACCCAGCACCTTGGCACCACTGACTGGTTTGTAAAGACCGCTGCACTCTTCATTGGCTAACAGCTGGTTAATTCCAAGGCATAAGTCACTGAGCTTCTGGCTTCCTGACATTTAGAATGATAAAAATTTGCAAAATGGACACAAATATGACACAAAAGGAATGACTGAGCCCATAAAATCATCAGGAAAGTGTTTACAGGGGTTAGAGCTGAAGGCAGTTTTCCCACAGACTTCTGTAGGACTAAAGTCTTTTTGCAACCACAGCGATTTGCCCCTTGTGGTCAAGAAATAGAAAGCTACGCCCATGTTTAGTTGTTTAATATTCTCAAATAAACCCTTCTGGCTTTGAACATTGTTCAGGAATGATAAGATAAGATAAGATAAGATAAGATAAGATAAGATAAGATAAGATAAGATAGAACTTTATTAATCCCTCAGGTGGGTTCCTCTGGGAAATTCGATTTCCAAAAAAGCACAGCACCGACAGAAGTTACAGAGTTATACACACACACATATATATAAATACAGAGACAATATAAATAAAATATACGAAGGGGATAAATAGAATAAATAGGAATAAAAATAAAAATACAAGTGAATTGCACATTTCAAGTATTGAGTCTATTGCACCGTTGACTATTTACAAAAGTATTGCACAAGGTATTGTACAGTGAGGTGAAGAGGCACTACAGCTTAGTTGTTCCCCCCTCCTTTGTCCTCCTGTTTCCCCTCCCTCCCCCCTCCAGAGAGGAGTTAAACAGTTTGATGGCGTGTGGGACAAAGGAGTTTTTAAGTCTGTTAGTTCTTGTCTTTGGGAGAAGCAACCTGTCACTGAACAGACTCTTCTGGTTGTTAATGGCCGTGTGCAGAGGATGCCTGGCATTGTCCATAATGTCCATCAGTTTCTTTAATGTCCTTTTCTCTGCCACTGTCACCAGAGTGTCCAGCTTCATGCCGACCACAGAGCTAGCCCTCCTGATCAGTTTCTCCAGCCTGGATGAGTCCTTCTTTGCTGTGCTGCTCCCCCAGCACACCACAGCATAGAAAAGTACTCCAGCAACCACCGACTGGTAAAACATCCTCAGGAGCTTCCTGCAGATGTTAAAAGACCTGGCGGGCCAGTAAAGTGTAGGATAGTGAAAAGGCTCAAATTAATCTTAATCAGTAATGAAATTAATTCAAAATGCACTGATACCCCCATATTGGCCCTGCCATTCACCTATTAGCAATTAAGATGACATTTATGTGTTGTGTGAAGGCTAAATGTACAAATATTTCAAAACACTTCAGTTTTTATAAAAAAAATTAAATAATCTGCTTCTTGGACACAAGGTGGAGTAGGCATCTATTCCAAATAAAACAAGTAAAATAACACAAGTAAATATTAAAAAACAAACAAATCCACAGACCACTTGCATTTGTGTTTACCTTAAAATCTTAACGTCAGTGTATCCCTATAATTAGTTTTGAATGACAGTTCCACTTTTTAAGTGGCTTATAATGGATCTATACAGTATTAGTCACAGTTTATCAAGTCTCCTGTAAGGATAATTTATACCTTAGCCTTTGTAAAGGTTAGCTTAAGAGTACTAAATTATGTTTTGACATTTGACAATTTGGCTCAAATTAATTCATATTTTAACACACAAAGAAATCTCAGATGCAAATTAGGTCAGTTATTCAAGGGGTAAGCAATAGTCTGGGTTCATGCCTTAAATTAATTATTATTATTAATTTCATGCCTTAAATTAATTAAGACAATTGTAGATCATACATGTTTTTGAATGAGTGCATTTTTGGTATTTTAATGTAGGCGGCCCGTTTTTTTTTGTTTTTTTTTTGTTCATTCAATAATTCTTCTCTATGGACAAAATAGCTCGTCTGCAGATTGCAGCTGGGATTGGTCGTTGCTTCCACTGTCAGGGGACGTTTAAGTGCTGAGCTCTGCTCTCCATTGGCTGGACACGTGTCTGGGCGTTTCACTGTGGGACTGCCCGGTTGTGTCCGGGTAAGATGGCGTTGGAAGAGCAGTGCTCGGCACCACCTCGATGGCGGTCCATATCTTTGACACACGTAGAGTTCCCCGAGGGTACGTACACTTAGCGTCTTTATGTGTCTGCTGAAGCTCTGTCGACACTGGCTGTTGTGTAATTTTTCGGGCAGTGCGTGTTTTGTTGCTGCTGAATGAACACGGCCGTCGGTGTTGCTGCCAAATTGTGAGCTGCTGTAGAACCAGCAACACAGCGGGAAATGTAACCCGGACTGCAAAATTGTGAGACAGCGTCGCATGCGCAGTTTGTCACAATGTCCACAATGAAGGCTAGTTAGCCTGCTAGCTGTCTTTATATCGTCTTCGGTATTTTCTTTCCGCTCTCTGCTAATACGCCGTGTACTGTAACGGTTATTTGGCCAAACTCAAGTATTTAAAAAATAGGAAAAAAAAGGTATGACTACAGTAGAAATAAATTGGTACTCCTCGGAAAGCATTGTAGCCAGCATTGTAGCTAACATACTAGCTAGTCCCATGGCCTGATACTGATCAGTGTGACTGAATCTCATTGCACGTATATGTTTGAGTTGCACCCAATAATGTGCTCTGTTAGTTTAAATATGGCTTAGCTACTTAACCACACCAGCTTCCTTCTTGTAGCCACAGTGTCTTGGTCATCCGGGTTCACTGAGAGACACAACTTGTCACTCCCACCAGTGACTTCTACTGTTTATGTGCCATTTAATATCTGTAATCTGTTAATGTGTTTTAGATGATCTGACGGGACACTTGCTGGCCTACATCAGCCTCATCCCTATAGCAATTCTTGTGGGCTTTGTTACACTCATAGTGTTTAAACGGGAACTGCACACGGTGAGTCCTGCACATGTACTTGACAAAGTTGTGGTTTTAGAAAGGGCACAATATTTAAAAGTCCGCCTGTGAAACTGTCAATTGTCTCACAGGAACTTGATCAGCATTGTCAGACAGGGCAGAAGTATGCAAACACTCATGCATTGCCTTTTTTTTTTTTTTTTTTTTTTTCTCATAAAACTAGATTTCCTTCTTTGGAGGGCTTCTCCTGAATGAAGGAGTGAACTGGCTGCTGAAGCACATTCTCAGAGAGCCGCGCCCATGCGCAGGTGGGTGAAGGAACAAGTTTTTTCTTTTTTCTTTTTTATGTATAGCAGGTTGGGTTGGGCAAGCATTACAAAAATGTAACGGTAGCTAGAGTTCATCTTCTGCTATCAACCACAATATCTATTCAGGCGCACAGCACTGAAACCTGAGACTACAAATTTATCTTGCTATTATCTCTTTATCTCCGAACTGTGTGATGATGGCATCAAGATGATTCGAGAGCCCCAATTTAATATAAAAATTGGCTTATAGCATCTATTTTTTTTTTTCGTCCAAATTTTTTTTTGTTTTGTCAAATATTGAATTAGAGCTAAATAGAAGTACCTGTAGAAAATGCCGATATCCACTTCAGCTTTATGAGTAGTTTTATTCTTTTACTAAACCCAAAACAGTGCCTGCACTGGATACGCTGATCAGCCACAACACAAAAACCACTGGTCACCTCATTAAATGGAGAATATTGGGCTGATGGCGTTTCTCTTTAGTTTGTAGTTGCAGTCCACCTAACATGCCACTCCTGCCTTATCCTCTTGGTGAAAGTACTCAGTTTGAGGCTACATAATAGATGTGGCCCAGTGGCTACACCCATCTTTTATTTTGTCCTAACCTCACTACTTGACAAAAACTCCTCAGGAACATAATAATAGGCCATATCCAGCCTCCAAATGTCCCAGGATTCTATCATCATCATTTGCTGGAATAACTGGAAAAAGCTCACTAAAAGACCCCACCCCACAGCACCCAGGGGATCATCTGCCATTGACCCAGAAATCCTGTGCCAATGCTCCATCTGTTTAAGAGTGGGACGTACACATTGTTAGACACATGGTATTATACTTTTGGTTGATGAATACTTCATTGAAGGGGAGAAACGTTTTATTGGCTGATAATAATGGCTTTGTTTTCTTTTGTTTTTTTTCCCTCTTCTTCCAGGTTTTTGGACAAGAGCATTTAATTGTTTTCTTTATGCATGATTAAAAAAAAACTGAATAATTTTTGGGTTTTGTTTGTCATAGCCGAACTGTTGTAAATAAAACCAATATTGTAAATTAATGTTTATAAGATTCTGTTGTCTCTCTGCAGGGGCTCACACAACCGTGCACACAGAGTATGGGATGCCCTCCAGTCATTCCCAGCTTATCTGGTTCTTTGTTGTTTACTTCTTTCTTTTCCTTTATTTAAGGTGAGTTATTTTGTTGTTGTGTGGGGAAGTTTAATGATAGAAACATAGTTGTGAAATAATTCAAATTGCAGCAGCTACTTGACAAAGTGAATTTAGTCTAGCAGTAGGACTAATGCAAACATGCAATGTGTATTGTGTGCATCTCAAACAAGCATTTCATTTCTAGTTTTCATCTGGTGCTCAGTTTGGTTATTTGAGGTCATTACAAGAATGCTTTGGGCTATCAGTAATTATTCCACCTTAACTTTAAAATGTGCCAAACTGCTGTATATTATTATTTATTCTTTTTCCCCGTCAGAATGCATCAAACGAACAATGCTCGATGTGTGGACCTTCTGTGGAGACACATACTGTCCATTATCCTCTTGGGCATAGCCTTATCAGTGTCATACAGCAGGTAAAATCCAATCCCTATCCTCTGCACATATCCCAGATCATTGCTAAAATCTGAAGTTCATAGAAGAGTACTCTAACAAACAGTAATATTAGTACTTGTTTTACTAAAGTTGACCCTCATTATATAGGTCTTATGCATGCACTGTACACCACATCCTTGCCCTTTTTCTTATTAACTGTTTTCTTGGCCCTTGTTATGATAAACAGGAAGGTTGTTTTATTTATTTATTTATTTTTGCTGGTTCAGGAGGTTCCCAGCATGTTATGTGATCATTTGTGACACTAGACTACATGCCTGTACTCTGTTTACAGATGCCCATTCAAGTCTGCACTTTCATGAGCCATCTTTATTTGTTGAGTATGTTTAGGACTTTAGTCCATTCATGACTGTTCAGTAGAGTTACAGAGTGAAGCTGCTTCCCTCGCAGGTGATCTTTGGGGGGGAGGGAGAAACGCGTTATTTCAACAGAAGTCGATTTAAAGTCAAGGAAGTTTTGACCTGAATTGGCAACCATTACTGATGTGATGGGGACGCAGAGCTCAGTGGTTCTGTATTGGCATTTCTGCCAGAAATTGCATAAGCAACACTCGATATACTTGTATATTCTTATAGTGCTTTTTATGTTCTCTTTTCTATAAATAATTGAGATATTGACCTTTTTTAATTAGATGGTGGCAATTATTTGATGAAATGAAGGACTTAAGTTAACTGTCTCAACTTGTGAAGCATGAATGTCAGTAGTGGGTGTAAAACTCAGAGATGACATTTGACCAGGCTGCTCACACTTTGCAAAGAACTTGATTTCCTTTGTAACAGCATCACTTTTGCTGAGCCGATAACACTTTGAAATGGTTTAAAATGCATTTTGATTTTTTTTTCTTCTTTTCTCTTACTTACTTACTCATTCTTCAGAGTCTATTTGTTGTATCACACCTGGAGCCAGGTTTTCTACGGTGGAGTGGCCGGTAGTACGATTGGCATAATCTGGTTCTTTATTACACAAGAGGTGCTGACACCAATATTCCCCAAAATAGCTGCATGGTAAGTAGTTCTCTCATTTTCTGCTTCCTTCATGTGTCACAGGGGAGGGCAACTCATCCTCTGCCTGAGTTGCATGAAAATGGTCTAGTATCTATTGTCTAATGTTCATATTTTTCTTTCTTTTAAACAATTCACAGGCCAATATCAGAGTACTTCCTGGTACGAGACACAAGCCTGATCCCAAACATCTTGTGGTTTGAGTACACAGTGACCAGATCAGAGGCACGGTAAGATACTGTGGTGGTGGTAATGGCATTTCACTCGCTTTTCTACATCTGTGATTATCGAGGCCTGACTAAAACACTTGGTGATGGTAGCAGCTAACATGTTGGCAAGCCAGGAATAATTCATTGCTAATTAGACGTGACACATTTAGAGGTCTTCCTGTTTTCTTTCTACTGTGCCGTTAACTGAATGAAAATTTGACAGTGTTGTTCAGCACTTTCAAAGCTAAGTTCAACTTCAGTAGCGCTGAGAGCTTGAGACAAAAATATTCATGTCACGTAGCTCCCTGCTTAGCAAGACCGTTGATCCATTGAAATGTTTGGTGCTTTAAATATGACTGGGTCTCCTAATATTTTGAGTTTGCTAATTTTCTTTTTTTTTTTCCTTTTTCCTTCCAGGAACAGACAACGAAAGCTTGGAACAAAAGTTCAGTGATCTACAAAGTTCATTTGTGAAACTGAGTTTAGGACCACACGTGCACACAGATACATTCCCATTTACAGACGCAAACAAATGTTCACTCAACCCCTCCCCCCCCCCCAACCAAAAAATGGCATAAAAAGTAAACACAAAAATGACACTGGAGAACCATCATCTGGACTGACGTGGTTGCAAAGGAGTAAAGGGCAAAAAAACAAACAAACACAAAAAAAATATTTACAGGTGGCAGGAGTGCCTGGACCTGGCCCGGAGCCTACAACCTGAGCAAGTCCGTCCCCACGCCTCTCCTCCTTGTACAGCTTGCCTAAAAATGCTCTTCAGTGCATGCAAGACTGTGTAAGAGGCATACTATTTAATGATAGATTAATATATTTTAACTATAAACTCGCGCTGACAGTAACGGTGTGTTGCAAGAGCTTCAAGGGGCCAATTACAGGAGCCTTTGCTCAAGTTTCAAACAGATTGATGGGCGTCATTGCAGCATGTACTTAGTGATTTTTTTTTTTTTTTTTTTTTTTTTTTCTTGCCTTTAAAAGAAATATTCTGATGGATACTATAGCTGGTGGGGTGGGTGGGTTGATTATGGCTTTGTTAGGGGTGATGTGGAGTCGACCATTTTTCATTGTTATAGACTAGAGAATGAACAGTTTCTAAAATTGGTTATGATGTAGTATAAATATGAAATTGCACTTTGTTAAATTTACAAGTTAAAATAGGACTAACACTAGTTAAGTATCATGAATGACCTTCCCTGTCTTTTTCCCTCATTGGGTCTTGCTTTGTGTCTCTGCCAGTCCTCATAATAATGATATTAGACTCCAAAGCTGATCTGTAAGCAGTGTAAATTTAATGAACCTTCTGAACTAACAAGCTATAAGTTATGGTTTCTGTTCATATCAACCTTTAAGTGGCACAGCAGTGGGTTTGAGTTATTCTTTTGTTGTTGAACACACTTTGGACCGAGGTGTTTTGTTAATGCCTCTTGCATAGTAGCAGCCTGGGAACAGAATTCTGGGATTTGTAATTTTTTTTTCTTTTTTTTTTTTTTCAGCAAGTTTCAGGTCTTTTCTGCAGTTGCGGAGACCCTTTTTAAAATTTTCCTTCTCCCCACTTTTCCCAACACAACATTCCATATCAGATAGTGAGAAAATGAGTGCTGAGGGTGGACTTTTTTTTTTTTTTTTTTTTTTTTTTTTTTTTTCTCTCAAGACAGGAAAAAATCCTCAGGTCAGTAGCAGCATGTGATTATGCTTATTCCTCAAAGCCTGCGGCAGCTGATGTTGGAAGCTGTCAAGTGAGCGCCGAAGCTGATTTTTAAGTGTCACCATTAGCTCCACAAAGGGAAGTAGATCTATAGTTTGTTTTGTTTTGTTTTGTTTTTTTTTTCTCGTATCTTGGTTTTTTTTCCATGTGTAACCTATATCAGGCTGAATAAAAATGTGTTTATGTACAAGTGATGGTCAAATGTCTTACTTTGAAATATAGTGACACCTTGTAATGGCTAACACATTCACTTGACTAGCAAAAGGTTGCTGGTTTGATTCCAGCCCTTTGGGGTTGAGTTAGGAAGGGCAAGGCCAGTGTGAAGTTGCCAAATCAAACATGAACAGCTACCTGCTGTAGTGACCCCACTGTGACCATGGATCAGTGGAAAATGGTTTCATTGCTTACATATAAAATTTTACTTTGTAGCATATTTATTGAGCCAATACGGCACTTAAACAATAAGACAAACACTACTCTGTTTAAAAGAAAAAAAAAATGCATTAAAAAAAAAAGTTCAGCTTGGTTATAATTTACAATTTGGACTGCTACATCTTTTCCAGCATTCTCAGAAAAAAACCAAAAAAAAACCATCCTCACTTTTTCCAGTGGCCCTGAACCTCTTCTGTAGCCTACAAAGTTTTACCAGAATTTACTCAAAACTTTTCAAGCTATTGTGTTTGCAGACATAATGACACACATGCAAATGATGCCAAAGGCATAACCTTGGCTGAAGCTATTACAAGCAATGACACACACAGTACGTGTCATTGCAAATTTTGCTAGGAAAATGTTAAATGTGCAGTGATTTATTGAAATTTGCAAACATACATGGAAATGCAGCAAACAAGGCAAAAACAGTTTGCACATTTCCAGCAAGTCTGAAAGTCAATATTTGGTACGACCGTCTTTATTCTCCAACATAGCCTGAGCTCTCTTGGGCAACTTTTTTTCAGCTTTGTTTCGTCTTAAGGAATAGTTTTCCAGGTTTCTTGTTGGACATTCAAAGCTTTTCTTTTGATTTTGTCTACCTTTTGTTCTTTTCTCTGTTAAGATGGTCCTGCATTGCTTTAATAATGTTGGGGTCCATGCTCTGGGGAGGCCAATCTGTGACCAGTGGTGGTCCATTGTGTCGCTTCTATCCAGCTATTCTGTTACTGTTTTAGCAGTGTGCTTGGGATCATTGTCATGCTGTAAAATGAAGCCAGTCCTGATGACATGCTTCTCAGATTTTATTGCTGGATAGATTAAAATCTGACAGTACTGATATATTTATTTATGAGTCGATCAGTTTTGAAAGCATCCTTGACACTATCATCAGTGTCATCACTCTAACATGTTCAAACGAATCACTTGTTTCCCCAGTCCCCCTTACTCTGCTGTAAAATGACAGTGAAACGTTGTTGTGGAAAATATGTTAAAATTCAGTTTTTTGCTTCATTTGCCAGAGACTGGGGAATTTAAACATGCACCGTATGTTAACACGATATGACCCAGTGTTGGTGACAAATCCATGCATCCGTCTGTTTAGTTGAAACAACGAACAAGCTCTCTGTCTTGTTAAGGGAACTTCATGCACTTCTCTTCCTCTATTCCCCAAAGTGACTGCTGAACACTGCTGAGAAAATACTTCAGGCATATCCTCACAACTTGCACGGCTCAAAAGAAACGTCTGCCCTATTTAAACGACCCATTCCATTTTTGATTCACTTTTCAGGTCCTACCTCAGGCTATCCCCAAACACCCATCGGGAACAAGAATAGCCTAAATTATGAAGACTGCAGTCTATTTCTGTTCCTTCAAGCTATTACTTCTGTGTTGCACTGTTCAGTTAAGCAGCAAGCACTCCTGAAGAAAAACTCTTTGGATGTGATTCAGAGGAATGGCTCAGAGCTGTTTGGTCAGTCTCCACTCCAAATATGTCAGATGTTTAATTCTGGTTCTTCATAGTTCATCAAAAAATGAAGGCATCAAACTCTTGAATTAAGAGTCACAGAGGTATCTTGAACTTAAAGAAATGTAAATCAAAACAGAAACCTCTCGGCACTATTGTTATCAACTCAGCCAGACTTCTGTTTTTTAAGCGGTTAATAATGTTAAACGTGTGACCAGCTATCTCAAACAGGAGAAAGATAAAATAGTTTCTTTTAGGAAGAAAAAGCTGGTTGGGCCTATTTATTAAAGGGGAAATGAGATGATGCAAAATAATTATTCATCTTAAGTTTAAGTTTGTTTCCTGTTTTGCTTTTAAAAACTCACCATCTCCAATTCCTGCCCTTGTGTACTTTTCCAGCACTCCCACCTTTGCGTATTTAGTCTACATGTTCACTTTTTTACCACAACTACTTCTTGTCAGATGCCCTGCCTTTGTACTGACAGGATCATCAAACTGTTTATTAAACCACATTGAAAGTAATGATTGAGTTTTAAACTTTTTTCATCCTACTAAACCCTTCTATTGAGTTCATACCTGCTGAAGTTCAAACAGAACATCAAAATGGACAAGAAAGGTGATTTAAGTGGTTGTTCAAACCCGACCAGCTGGTGTGAGTTTTTCAGAAAGTGCTGATCTGCTGGGATTTCCCCACAAAACAACCTTGCCAAAAAACAAAAAAAGCTAAAAGAGATGAGATGTTTCCAAGTCCACGGATCTCAAACTCAGTGGGAGGGAGTTCCAGAGTTTGGGGGGTTACTGATGCAAAGGCTTATCCCGTTCTCATCCTTGTATGACGTACAGCCAGCAGGCCCTGATTACATCACCTCAGGGACCTGTTGGGGATGCATTGATGAAAAAGTTCACTGATGTATGTCAGTGCTTGTCCATCCAGAGCTCTAAAAGTCAAAACCAGAATCTTAAAGTTGACCCCGAAGTAATAGGATACTCCGTGTATCAACCATTTGCGACAGCTTGTTTTGATACTTCTTAAATTTGACATTTGTTTTTATATTAAAACATGTTTTAAGAGCTCTTAAGAAGGCTTCTGCTCTTTGTGCAGACAATAATCAACATGAAATTTCTTCTATAGACCACTCTGTAAATATCCTCTGTTGTTCCCTCTGACGTTGCAAAACCATTATGCACCACTGTCACATCGGTTGACGTGTTCATCAGCCTAAACATGAACATTGTTGTAAATCCTACATACAGCATCCTGCCGCTGTGAATACTTGCATCGCCAAAAATGTATCAGTCCACAGATGAAAATAGTCCCAAACAAATGCATTATTTAGTCCTGCTAAAAACTACAATGCCCAGCATATTCATGGAGAACAAATGGCTTCAGACTAATGCATTTCCAGCCTTTTTGTTTGTTTGTTTTTTGGGGGTGCGGGGGATGGATTCTGCGCACCTACTGATGTGCGCTTTAATTAGTTCCCCGGAGAACAAATTAAATTGCTAATCAAACAGCAGCCCCAGTTAGATTAGTAAGCAGCTGTGTAATTCAGCTCCTCCACAGTGGAATGATTTGTTGGGATCTTGTGTGCCATGTTAATCGCTTAACGGCTGGCTGATATGTATAAATGGTACGTACCGATTTCAGCGAGGCTTTGTATTGTGTCGTGTTAGCCTGGCATTTTGCTTTTGTAATGGCAGGTTGTGCCAACCTGTGGCTGTGCGAAACCTTTCTCCTTTAAAAGCTAACCAGGCTTCTGTGAATAAAGGGCTGCCTCAACATTTATTACAACAAACACAATGGCTGTCTTTCTAAGTTGACATTTCTGTAAGATTTTTACTTTCAGACAAGTTACATTTGTGCCAGCAGACACTGGCAAGAATTACAGTGTGTAATCTCACTGGAGGTTGGCAGCAACTTTGAGTGTGTTCTCTCTTGGCAATGGAAGCTGT